GCTTTTAGGTCTGAAAAATACACCAATTTTTGTTTTACTTAGGACTCGGGTTCTTAAAAAGATCTATTTTAGAACAAAATTTGGATTTTTTAATATATATATTGATAAAGTTGAAATTCAAGGCCATATTTTGCAAAAAGTGAACCTTGTCCTTTTGTATCGAAGAATTGAAGAGAATCCTTTATCTAAAAGACAATACATAACCTTGAATCCAACATAATTTTGGTTTTGGTTCAGAATATCATTCTTCACATTATGGGGGTAAATGTTCAAAATTTGCCAAAATGTGTAGAAGGGTAAGACCCCTTTTTGGCCCCAAAATATAGCATTTTTACAAATTTGTTAAAAATGTAAACTTTAGCTATTGATTGGAAAGAAGAATATTTTGGTTACATACATCAGATACTAGAATCATTAATGGATGCAAAATTTATGAAATCTTCACAATTTTAGCATTTGTGGTAATTTTTAGACGGTTTTTGTCTAAAATGGAAGTAACCAGGCCGCACTTGTGTTCAGTCTTAATATTTCAATATATGTTGTATTTGATAATACATAACATATATAAAGGTTGAGGCCGAACACAATTTTAAGCCAAAATTAGCCCTTACCGGACCTTTTCCTTTGTGGTTTTCAGCTATCTTCAAGCATTTGCAAACTGGTTATGTGTTTTGAAATAAGCCTAGTCCAAATAACGTAGGAAGGCGTCCCAGAAAAAAAAAATTAAAATAGCCTTTCAAGACGTCATAATTATTTGGACTAAAATAAGCCATGCTATTGTTAGAATCTCAAAGTACATTCAGCTGTTATACTGTGAATTTATGCAAGGATTTGTATAGAAAGAAAGCCTTGATTTATGTAAAGATTGAAAGCATTTTTGATAATAAATTCAAGGAAAATTGGCCCTACCTCTTTTGATTTTAGTGACACTTGATATTACATTGTACAATGTTAAATCCGAATACAGATATGTATGATAGAAGAGGACAGGTCTATGTTGCAACTTTTTGAAATTGTAAAGTTCTGCAAATGGAAAACTATTTTTTCGTTAAATAGTTAAGAATTTTCTAATTATACTGCCGAAATTTACCCAAAGGAACTTTCGTTAAATAAATCAAATATAAACGGTAATAACTGTCCTTTCCTAGATTTAGATATTTCAGTTTTACACGGGAAACTATACACTAAAATTGACGATTTTTCGTTCCCTATTGTTAATTTTCCCTTTTTGGATGGTGATGTTCCTTTGGCACCATCTTACGGTGTTTATATATCACAACTCGTTCGCTATGCCCGAGTCTGTTGTGACGTTTTGGATTTTAATTAACGTTTACAATCTATGTATTACTGGTAAATTATTAAGTCAGGGATTTCGTTACCACAATTACTTAAAACCTTTACTAAATTCTTCCATAGATATGAAGATTTGGTTTTGAAGTTTAATTGTACCTGTAGAAAATTTATTTCAAACGGGATAGCACATCCTCATTTTTACGGAGATGCTGTTTACCGAGCCTGGAAATTTAGAAACGATCTGGATAAACTTATTGATCCTATACATAATCTTATTCTAAAAGGTTACCAATTCAACACTGTAATTAGATCATTGAAATTAGTTTTTATTGGTATTAATATTGATTTTGTTATCAGTAAATTAAAAGCAAACTAAATATTATTGTTATATACATATGCACATTCATGGTTCTACAATCTGTCGATACCTGTAACTTGGCATTGCACAGGGTCGTGTTTTTTCTCTGACTGTTTATGACGTCTTTATACTAAATCCATTGGATGTTGGATGTGTACTGATTGATAATTTAGTCTTAGATGCATGATTTTTTTTTATTTGTTGTTATTGGCTTTGAACTAGCTGTCAGTAACTGCGAGTACTCTCAGATCTGCACTTAGTGTCTTTTTGTTGTTGGGATGTACAAGTACCTGTCCACGTCTACTCTGTGTTTTTGTTAGATGTATTTCTATTTGTATCAATCTGATGGGTTAAGCCTTTTTCAACTGATTTTTATAGTTTGTTCTATTGTTGTACTGCTACATCACTGTCCCCGGTTAGGGGGAGGGTTGGGCGCCCGCTTACATGATTAACCCCGCCACATTCTTTATGTGCCTGTCCCAAGTCAGGAGCCTGTAATTCAGTGGTTGTCGTTTGTTGCTGTGTATTATATTTTTTTTTCGTTCATTTTTTTTGTACATAAATTAGGCCATTAGTTTTCTCGTTTGAATTGTGTTACATTTGTCATTTCGGGGCCTTTTAAAGCTAAGCGGTATTGGCTTTGCTCATTGTTGAAGGCCGTACAGTAACCTAGCTATAGTTGTTAATTTCTGTGTCATTTGATCTATTGTGGAGAGTTGTCTCATTGGCAATCATACCACATCTTCTTTTTTATATTAACCTTGTAAAGTACCCACCTTTTCACTGCAACTCCTCTTACATGGTTTGTTGAATGAATATGTAACTTTGTACACTGAATATTTTGCTATGTGGACGTGCATATGAGTGGATGTTCCTTTCTTCACATGAATCACCAGCTGTCTAATGTTACAACAAATGAAATGTAGTATTTTCCTTTGATTTTTTTTTTACGTCCCAATAATGGAAATTTTTACATCGGCAGACATGTCAAAAGTGGTTATTTTTCTGTTTCATTAGGGCAAGCAAAACAAAACTTAAAATTAACCCACAATGTGAAATCAATGTATTTGTGTTTATCCTGATTTATGTCCAAATTTAAATTTTTGTTTGCTCTGCCTAGAACCAACCTTTATAGTACATAACTATTTTGGCTATGTGCCCAACTTCTCCATTTATAAAAAGATCGTTTTCATATTTAACAGCATAACTTATAGAATTGATTACTGTGAATTATTTTCAAAACATCAAATTATTGTTTTCTTTCAATAACTACAGGCTCTTTAGAGCCTGTGTCGCTTACCTAGGTCTATGTGCATCATCAACAATGGGCAAAACAACAAAAAAATTGTAAAAATAGTCTTTAAAGAGCAATAACTCCAATAAGGAGTGGACTGACAATTTTAGCTATTAAACTTATTTGTAGATCTTGTCTTGATGATCACTTTTGCTATTTAATTGTCTGTCTATATATTATAGTTTTTAAGATATTAGTCAAAAATGCAAATAAACTGTTAACACAGAGATATGTTTCGCCTATTTGTTATTTTGATAATGCAAATGTTGAAATTAAAATAGCAATACTTTAACATGTAAGTTATGCAAATATTCAAAGTCAATGAACCATGACTGAAGGTACATGGAAATGGGATGTGCTAATGCTAATACAACTGCAAACCAAATACCATTAACTCTTCATAAGTCGTTCCCTTTAAACAAATCTAAACACAAACATTAACTTGTAAACTATGTAAAAGTTTCAGTCAATGAACCATAATTAGGGGGGTGGGGTTATATCATCTCCATGGAAATGAAACTTGCAAATGCCAATACATTTGCATACCGAATATCATTGACTTGACATTAGTGGTTCATCTTAAACTGACCTAATCACAAACTAATACACGTAAACTAAGCCAAAGATTCAAAGTCAATAGACCATGACTGAGGGGTAAGGACCAAATATTCTCCATGGAAATGAGATGTGCTAATGCTTATACAACTGCATACCAATTATCATTGACCTACCACTAACAGTTCCCCTTAAACTGACCTAATCACAAACTAATACATGAAAACTAAGCAAATGTTTCAAAGTCAATAGACCATGAATGAGGGGGCGGGGCCAAATAATCTCCATGGAAATGAGATATGCCAATGCTTATACAACTGCATACCAAATAGCATTGACCTACCACTAGTGGTTCCCCATAAACTGACCTTATCACAAACTAATACATGTAAACTAAGCAAAGTTTCAAAGTCAATAGACCTTGACTGAGGGGGCGGGGCCAAATAATCTCCATGGTAATGAGATGTGCCAATGCTAATACATTTTACAACTGCATACTAAATATCATTGACCTACCACTAGTGGTTCACCATGAACTAGACCTAATCACAAACTAATACATTGTCGAAGCCGCTGCTGACCCCGGAAACAGCATACCTATGTCTCGCTTTTTGACTGTCAAGGTGAGACAAAAATGGAAAATATAATCATTAAAGGGCAATAACTCCTATGAGGAGTCGACTGATGATTATGACCATGCTGACTTTTTTGGAATCTTGTTTTGTTGATCCTTTTTGCCATTCAATGTTTATCTCTATCTATTATAGTTTTTAAGATTATAGGCAAAAATTGGTAAAATTGGTAAAATATGTCATTTAAGGGTTTTCTGATAGTTTTGATGTAAATTTTCATCAGGTTGATCCCAATATTGTGAACATTTCTGCCCTGTCAGCTTTCTCTGTTCAAAGGGGTTTGCAAGATAATAGTAAAAACTTGCATTTTACCCCTACCTTTTATTTTTAGCCATGTCAGCAATGTTGATTGGGAGGTGGATATATTTTCAAACTAGATATCCCAATAATGATTGTGGCCCAGAGGACAAGATTTTTGAGAAAGATAGCAGACAATGCTGGACAACAAATGATGAGATAAGCCCTGTGGGCATGGTGAGCTAAAAAGCAAAATGTAAAAAAATCAATCTCTAGATTGTCAAGATTAAGTATTTACTCTATCTAGTTGTGATGGCATAAACCTTTAATCCAGAGTTTTCACTGTGTCTAATCATTTGAAATTTCGATTAATGTTGTATTAGAATTAGAACTGGTCTAATTTTGTGTAGTCATTTTAACTGTCCAATTTGCAACCTCTAACAATTATAACAAATTTAATTAAAGTCTCTAAGCTCTGTGACTTTATGAAAATGCTCATATAGTGGAAGGGCTCATAAATTGACAAATCCTCTGATACATATTACCACTAAAGGCAATAACTTTGCACTACAGTAACTTTGTTTATACTATGTTTCTTTTAAAAATATCCTTTTATATAAATAATCAAATATAAGAGTTTTATTTTCTTTATTTCATATGTTCACAACAAAAACTTTATGTTCATATTAAAATATACAGTAAAATTAAGATAAAAATAAAAATAACTTGTTCATTATCACAGTCCATGGTAAACAATAATTACAAAAGTAAATTTGAAATATTTCAAGTCTACTTCTTCTTTTTTCCTTTCTTTCCCTTTTTCCCCTTCTTTCCTTTCTTCTTTTTGCTGTATGGTCCAAATCCTTTCCTAACCATGACACCTCTCCACCAGGCTTGGATCTGTAAAACAGAGAAATAAAAGAATTGTTTACTATAAAAGCAAATAAAAAATACGCTATTTGTGTTTAGAATTGAGAATTGTGATTTTGATGAACTTTCTACGACTGTTTGTGCAATATGAACAAATCATGCTATAATTCCTAATTGACTTTATATATGATGCAAATATTAATTACACTGTGCTTATTAGGTACAAAGTTGTTTTTTTTTTTCAACCAAATGTATGCTGGGCACTGATTAGCTAGAGCTTAAGTAACAGAAAATACAACTTGATGAATCCTTAAGGACTGCAGAAAATGGCAACACATGTCAACTATGTGAAAAATCAAGAATTTCGCATACAACGCAAGAACTAAAATTAACACATTATCTCAATATTTCTTTTGTTCAAATTGAGTTTGTTTTTGTGGTTCATAAATGACAAAACTAGATTTTGTATGTTTGTTGCTTAAAGTTTATCATCAGTAATTAAATGAGACTCTTAATTTATTTTTTTTCATTTTTGTAACGAAGTATAGAAAAGACCAGAATTCCTTACTGTCTCGATAACATTTTTCTGGCTTTTGGCTAGTTACTGAAAATTATTTCAATAATTTTAATTGGTGATAACAGCAACTGTTAATTATCTTAAAAAATATTTGCCCGGAAATCCAACCTAGCTTTGTATTTGAGACCAAAAAAGTACTGATTCAGTTTTATTTATTCATATTTTTAAGCATATCTAGGGGAAACTCTTGTGCATTATTAATATTTATTTAAGAGTTGCCTTCCTTTTTCTGACAGGTTTCAGTGCATTTCATGCCATTTTTTTCATGAAATTAAAATCACTTTTAGATCATCATGGTAAATCTTACTTTTATACATTGATTTCAAATCATACTATGAAAGCCAACTCCAAAAATGAGTATACCTGAACCTTTTAAAACTGCTCAATAAACAAAAGGGTGCCAAATTTACACTCCTTTGGCATATAATACACAATTCAATCAACTTATGATTAAAAACAACGTGGCTGACACGTAATTGTATTTTCACCAAAATTTGATTAGTTTAAACATAAAATCAATTTTGACCATAATATTGCAAAAAAATAAAAAGCTCTCCTAAAATTTAACTTAATTATTCCAATTTTTGAGTCTCATCTTCAAAGAAACAAGCAAATCTCAAGTTGCCACACAAAAATGACCAAACAATGTAAAACTGCACTGAATCTCCTAAATAATTATTCAAGTATTTAAGAACTAAGTTCATCATAAAAGTATGAAGTTGTCTCCCTTTTTTAACACAAACTGATTTTTTGTTTTAATTATCTCACTTTGAACAAGAATGTGTCCATAGTACACGGATGCCCCACTCGCACTATCATTTTCTATGTTCAGTGGACTGTGAAATTGGGGTCAAAACTCTAATTTGGCATTAAAATTAGAAAGATCATATCATAGGGAACATGTATACTAAGTTTCAAGTTGATTGGACTTCAACTTCATCAAAAACTATCTTGACCAAAAACTTTAACCTGAAGTGGGATAGAAGGACAAAAGGACAAGCGAACAGACGGATGGACGGACGAACAGATGAACGAACTGACACACAGACCGAAAAAACCTAGGTGGGGTATAAAAATAACTCATCACTTTAATTCAAACATGCCAAATATTTCAGATTTCACATTCACAATATTTGAGAATTTGTTCATTTCAGTTCACAGATTTTCAAAAAATAGCTTGACACCTTGAGACACTTTTCCTAAAAAATCAATTTCTTTTGAAAATACTAAAATAATAACATTTTTCAACAAGTGATTCTGTGGATTTATTTTTTCACAGAAAAAGTGTTTAACGAAAATCAAATAAAACTTGAACTGTTGAGAATTTGTAAATAAACACAAAATCAAAGATTCATGAAAATGCAATATTTTCTCAATCCACAAAATTTGGTAACCACAAAAGTTTTTAATTGGTTTTATATAATTCAAAAGTTACCCTACTTCAACGTACCATCATTAAAAGAAATGATCTAAATAACCAATATCTAGCCAATCTCCCTTGCCTGGTGAACTCAGGAGCCTGAAGTTCAGTGGTTTTGGTTGGTTCATGTCTGTTATATTTGTTTTTCGTAAATTGTGTTGTTAAAACTAGGCTGTTAGTTTTCTTAATTGAACTGTTTCATATTTTTCATGTCAGAGCCTTTTATAGCTGACTATACAGTATGGGTTTCTCTCATTGTTGAAAACTTTTTGAGTTACGGGACTTTGAAGCTAAAACAGGGATGTGTTTTTTTCACATGTCGAGCCGTATCTCAAAAACATTTTATGATTATTGCTTAAAACTTTACACACTTCTTAATTATATTAATCTAAAGATCTGTATACTTTTTGGTGATGATTTAAAATTTTATTTTAGAGTTATTGATTTTTTTATAAAAAAAGGGGGGTTTTCACATGTTTCTCAGAAACGATTTATGATTATTGCATAAAACCTCACACACAAGACGACGGGCGTATCATGTGCTCGTGGCGCAGCTGTTTACTATATCAAGCATAGCAAAAGTAATGAGGAAATTATCTCCCTTCCTTTGGATTGACTACTCACCCTGATACTAGCTTTGAGTTCAATACCCTCTTGATCTGCTTTTCTCCTCGCCTTCTCCTTCTCAATTCTATCTTCAACAACAACTTGTTCATATTCTTTGTACTGGAAATTAAAATTTAAACATAAACAGGGCCAAAGAAGTTTAAATAATTACTTGGTTTTCCTGTGTTTAAATTGTCTATTGTCATTCACAAAGCATATTTTTCACAAAACATAAAAAAACTATATTGTACTAAAAAACTTCTGAAATTTAAGATTAACAAACTAGAGGCTCTAAAGAGCCTGTGTCGCTCTCCTTGGTCTATGTGCATATTCAACAATGGACACTCTCCAACATTGTAGACGAGAATAGAATTCATGACAAAAATCACTGTTTTGTTGATCTTGTATTGCTGATCATTCAGTCTGTTTAGATTCTCTTTATCTTCTTTAATTTTTGCTCAAAACACAAAAGAGGGTAAAACAAGAATGTGTCCATAGTACATGGATGCCCCACTCGCACTATCATTTTCTATGTTCAGTGGAACGTGAAATTGGGGTCAAAGGAAGTATTTTTTTGAAAATACAGTATTAATATAGATACATGTATTGTAGAAGCATTTGTACATTCTTTAGTTTCGTATTATTTGATTGCTATTGTTTATAAAACCCTGCACCTCCTTTTCACGTTTGTTTTGGCTGGTTACGGACAACAGCCAATCGGATTGTCTTATTTGAATCTTGCTTTGTCTGGGATATATTTATCTACCAATCAGCTTTGATTTTTCAAATTTCCCGGTTTAACCTAATCCAATAAATTCAATCAAATTTATCTTGCATAGTATGCATCCCAGCATCTCACAACATTCAAAAATTTTGCAAGCAGCAAGCAAGTTGTATGTCAAATCGATCAAGCATAATCATATTTCTTTTTCCACCCACCACTCCCTTATTTTCTAGTTTTGTGCGTTTTGACTCTATGTGCATTATTGTAGTTTTAGAATTTTGTCCGCAGTGATGGAGAACCACAGTTTGACTTACACTTTCAGTTATTCATGTTTTAAAATTTTGTTTATCATGCATATACATTTGTACATGTATTGTATATTTCTTGTCTTATTTTAAATTTTAACTTAATAAACTGTGGTTAGTTTTTCCCAAACCTGTCTTTGTTTACATTTATTTATTATTTCACCATTACTTTATGTTCTACTTGGCCAATGTATCCATGCCGGTTACCGGTGTGGTGTATCCAACCTTGATGTATAAGTTTAAGATACATCTAGTGTTGGCAGGGAGGCAAAGAAGAAGTAATGCTGTGTCCTGGCATTGATATATGCTCCTTTACATTGCATCTTATGATATCTACATATGTCATCGGGTGCTGCGTGGCCTAGGGTGGATGCCTGTAAAGGGGGGGGGGGGGGGTCTCTTAATGTATCCTAAGATTAATACTCTAATTTGGCATTAAAATTAGAAAGATCATATTATAGGAAACATGTGTACAAAGTTTTAAGTTGATTGGACTTCAACTTCATCAAAACCTACCTTGACCAAAAACTTTAACCTGAAGCGGGACAGATGGACGGACAAAAGGACACAGACCAAAAAACATAATGCCCCTAGGTGGGGCATAAAAATCCTCATTTAAGAGCAATCACTCCTATAAAGAGTAACAGTCTACTACCTGTATCTGCAAAATTTGACTTGTTGGTAGATTTTGCCTTGCTGATCATTTTTGTGATTCAAAGTGTCTGTATCATGTAAGACAAAGTGCCAAAAAATGGTAAAAATCGTCATTAAAGGGCAAAAACTCCAATAAGGAGTTGTCGAACGATTTCCTCTATTTGCCTTAATTGTAGGTCTTGTCTTGCTGGTCGTTTTTGCTTATTCAAGTTTCTATCTATCTATTTAAATTTTTCAGATATAAGGCAAAAATGCAAAAAAGTTAAAAATTGTCATCGAAGGGCAATTACTCTAATAAGGAGTCGATTGACGATTTCGAACATTAGATTTATTTGTATAACTTGTCTTGCTGATCATTTTTGCTATTTAAAGTTTCTCGCTATCTATTATAGTTTTCAAGATAATAGGCAAAAAATTTTAAAAATGGCAAAATTTTGTCATTTTATGACAATAACTCCTATAAGAAGTTGTCTGACAGTTTTGACCTTTATGGACAATTGGTAGAGCTCAACATTCTGAACATTTCTGCCCTTATCAGATTTTCTCTTTTTATAACAGTTTCCAAATAATAGACAAAACTTTATTTTACTCTTATGTTCTATTTTTATCCATGTGGGCCATCTTGGTTTGCAGGGGTCATCGGACATATTTTATAAACTAGATAATCCAATGATGATTGTGGCCAAGTTTGGTTAAATTTGGCTCAGCAGTTTCAGAGGAGAAGATTTTTGTAAAAGTTAACAGACGACAATGACAGACAACGGACGCCAAGTGATGAGAAAAGCTCACTTGGCCCTTTGGGCCAGGTGAGCTAAAAATGAGTACTAACAAAACCAAACAAAAAATAAGGTTAATAATTGACAGATATACCATAATTTAACAAGAGTGCACACGTTAAAATGTCTCGTGTGCTAATAGATCATGATTGAATTTATATTGCAAGTCTTTCAGACAGATAAATAGACCTTAAAACCATTCCATACACAAAATAAAGTTAACCTATTGCTTAAAGTATCTGAGAAACAAACCTTACCGTGAAAACTAAACATTGATCACTGATCCATAAAATAAGGTAAAAGTCAGGTAAACTCTGTCTGATGGACATGTAGACCTTGCAGTGATTCAACATATTAAATATAGTTATTCTTTGATTTTTTTCCTTCACAAGAAGTGAGAAAAACAATATAAAGTTCTTTAAGCAGTTAATGAACCATGAACATGAGCTCAAGGATGATGGGCAGATGAAAACTTCCAAACATGTCATCTGTATACAAGATATGAAGTATTCGGGGCTTCTCCCTATAAAACTATAAAGTTTCATTTGAGTTGTTTAAGCTGTCACTGCCAGATTAGCATCCCTCTGTCTTGCCATGTTTCAGAGAAGACAAAAAATTCACTCAGGTGGAACTTATAAAATCAGACATTCTAAACCCTCATTGAAACAAATATTTACAAGTTTTGTTAGTTCCTGAAGCCTTGTAAAATCTTTCTGATTTGCAGCTTTTATTACTGTCAATTCATGCTGTTTGGCATCTACATCTTTTTCCATCTTCTCTTGCCAAAATTTCTCTTTAGTCTCGAGTTCCTGAAAAATTACAAACAACAAATGTTGTTTTTTTCATAATTGACATTCTGTATCAAATAATTTACCTATCATGATTATCATTAATTATTCTCTTATCTATATAAAAAAAAATTCTTCTTAATCTGAATTTGTACTCATACTCATACGCCAGTATATGTTAGCTCATCAAATGATTGATTGATGGGTGCTTAATGTCAAGAGAAGGATAAATTCCCATTTTTTGGACAGTCACAAATATCTGTTTTTACTGGCTCCCCGCTGTGTAAAATTTGCTGCCATTGAATCACTAAATTGTATTGCACTCTTCATTCCATACGCAAGTGCTGAGATACAGTAGTTAGTTAAATCTGTCAAGTGACTTCCATCACCATGTAACCAAAATGTAGGCATCGTCACCCACCCTTCAGTCATACAGGAATTATGATTACGTACTTACGAAACATAAATTATTTCTAAGACTACCCTGCAGAATGACGATTCTGAAAGTGCTTAAAACTTTAATAGAGCAGGTATACAGGTGCGCCTTCCATCTGGTAAATGACGTCATAAAGGCGTGCGAAATTGACAATCTTTTCGGGTGAAAGACATGAACCCAGAAATGGCCTATTGCTTATATTTCTTTGAATACACTCCAATAAAATATCAAAATAATATACACATTCATGTTGAATAAATTGGCACTGCAAATAACATTGTCATCTATACACCAAGCTTCAACAGAGGTAATTTTATTAGTGCATGGCACTCTAAAAATAGCATATTATTTAAGTGTTAGAAATCTGTTTACAACAGCAGACTCTAACTCATCCCTTTAAATTTACTGTAAGCCCTAATTAATTAATTGCATAAAAGTCAATACTTTTTAGTTAAAAGTATCATGACTTACATTGAGTTTGAATCATCAGAATTTACTTACATCATGATGGGTTCTGAGGTATGATTCTATTTCACTATGTGATCTTTCTTCATCATCTACTTGTTGTCGTAATTTCTGTAAAAACAATTGGTTTGGAAGACCATTACAAATTAATAATATATATAAACTTTTGTCTGTCTTGGTAACATGTTAAAGTAGTTTTTGGTTTGTAGTCTTGACTTAAGGATTTTATTTGACACTTTGACATAAGATTTTAAAGTATGTTGGTAAACTTTATATCTACATAAATATACATGAATACTACTAAAAAAGCTTTGTTTTAAAAACAAACAATACAAAATATTCTGCTTGGATTGTTTGTGTGTAGCTTAGACTGACTGTATTCTGCTTGGATTGTTTTTGTGTAGCTTAGACTGACTATATTCTGCTTCGATTGTTTTTGTGTAGCTTAGACTGACTGTATTCTGCTTGGATTGTTTTTGTGTAGCTTAGACTGACTGTATTCTGCTTGGATTGTTTTTGTGTAGCTTAGACTGACTGTATTCTGCTTGGATTGTTTTTGTGTAGCTTAGACTGACTGTATTCTGCTTCGATTGTTTTTGTGTAGTGTAGACTGTTTCTCTTAATAATCTAATCACTGTGACTTTGAGATAAAATACAGAAATAAAAGCACTGTTCCTTTGCTTGTTGTGTTTTTTTGCTGTGCATGTACTGATTTTGTGCCATGGAATGATACCCTATATCCTTTTTTTCAATTAATAGCGAACCTCAATTTCATCCTGTGCTTGTTTTTCTGAAATGGTACACCGTTTCTGAGTCTGGGCAATTGAAACTTCAGCACTTTTCTTTATGTATTTTCCTTCCATATTTGTGCGTGCTTTGGCCTCTTGAAGTTGATCTTTGATGTGGGCAATCATGCCTTTTCTATCTTGAAGATCTTGTTCTTTTTCTTTTTTAATATCTTGTAACTTCCTCTGCAGTTCTCTTACTCTTTTTCTTCCATTTTCCTCTCTAAACAAACAAAAACATTTTTTTTTTAATTATCAATTGTGGATTTTCCCACTCAAGATAGGATACGTCAGGTAAAGTTTATTCTGATTGGATCAAAGACTACTTTAGGGCACACCTAGTTTTTATAGAAATGTTAATTTTTATTTCCTTATAATTCTAATGTGTGCAGAGGCGGATTTAGGGGGGGAGCTGCCCAGGCCCCCCCCCCCTAATGGAGCTACATTTATGGTTAATCCAGACTTTTTACCTATACCAACCCAAATTTTGACTAGTTTTGTGGCCAATGGGTCCCCCCTTTTTCAGAATCCTGGATCCGCATCTGGTGTGGGATCTTGCCTTTCAAACAAGTATGTACATCTACTTGTCTAGACTTCAAGTTATGCTGAGCATAGCATTTTAAATTCCATAAATCTTTGACTCAATATTACTTTAAAACAAAATTTATACTGTCAACTGAAAATTTTGTTTCAATTGATTACTAAATTCCAATAGTAAATTACACATGCAAATGTATTATGAATTTTAAAAAGTTATCTTTATGTATATATACAATGAGCATTTCAGATTTGTGTACATACTATGGTAGTCTGTTTTAATCATGGGCATATTGTAATTTTATCTTAAATGGTAAAATTAATGCAGAAATGGTTGATTGCTGATTCCTTGCCTACCAGAATGTACATTGGGGTGACAGCTGAAATATGCTTACAACCTGTGATCTTTTTTGAGTTTATATTTTCTGTAAAGTATTTGGATTGACCACTATTGACCTAGGTTTTAAGTTAGCTGAATTCAAGTTCAACAGAATTGTTTGTTTATCTTGTCCTTTTTATTACTTACTTTTGGATAGTTTCTTGTAGCTTGGCTTTCTTAAATTTCTCTCTTTCAACTGATTCAATCAAGCATTGGAAACTACAGTTTTGTATCAGTTCTGATAAGGTATCACCCATAACATCTTCACAGAAAGTTCTGAAATAGAAAAATTATTTGAAATTATTAATTGATGAGTACACATACATTAACTGACCAATCCATTAAATTTCCTTTTAATACATCTGTCACAGATGATTATTAATTCATCTAAAAAAAGACAAAGTAAAGCTGAGTTTTGTTCTTTTGCATTAATATTTGCATTCCTGACAAGATATTGTCCTTTAAAGATGATAAAATCTTTAAAAAATAAACAACAACAACAAAACAATCTGTTCAAATGACTGTATCACTTTTCTATCATTTTGCTTGATAACATAATTGATTATTAGCATCGATTAGCTTCAAAAGATAGATAATCAATATTCCATGATAATTGTAACACTTCAGGTTACTTATATGTTTCATAAAGAGTGAGAATTTGATATCGCTTGATATCAACTCAAGTTATTTAATTTCAATATAATAATAAACGAGCCTGTGGCAAGTTTATTATTACTATTTGAATTAAATAATGAGAGTTGATTTCAAGCGATATCTAATTCTCACGAGTTGTTAAACCTATTTCTCTTATGGTCGACACACTTTTTGCGTTAAATTATAAATTCCGTAAATAATTAATCAAGTCTTGTGCACATAACATGAGTGACGTCAAATGTCATTTTCTTTTCCTTGAAAGTTATCAATGACCTAATGAATAGCCAATGGAAATGTCGTATTATCGCCTCGTGATGCTGGATAAGCCAATCAAATTAACACAGTTTTCGTATCACTTTTTCATATCACATTCCGTGCAGTGTGAGACATATATCTTCATGCAAGAAATAGATAACAGGCCACAACCATAAGGAATATTTATTATACTAACCACTGACACTGTGAGGGTATATTACTTCACATCAATTCTGTCACTACATAACATGACAATTACCTGGATTGTAAAACCTTTGGAATGTAAACATACAAGCTTGTTGTACATATGAAGTTATTTGAAAAAAATTAACCTGTCTGCCTGTATCTTTGAAATGTTATCTCCTGTCAAAGGATTTTGTCTCAGACTGCGACCAAATACATGGGTACTATTTTTCAAATCATGTCCACTTTCTACCACTTCCTTCTCGATTTCTGTTAATTTCATTTCATTTTTGGTATTCTGTCTCATTTCTAGTCTTTTTGCTAAAATTGTCTGGTATCTTTGTTCTAAATCTTTTTGTCCAGCAACCAGTTGATTAAGTTCACTTTGTACCATCTGAAATGAACATTTTCTTTCATTATCTTTAAACCATTTCACTTTATTTATGTAACATATGATTGTACAGCCAAGTACACTAATTTGATGCATCTGTGTATATAACATTATAACTGTAAATTTGGCATGGAACTTTTACATTGATGAAAAGTGGTGAGGTGGGAAATAACTGTCACTCCTGTTTTTACTGCAAGGAAATGGTTTGCCTGGTAGTTATGCAACAGTTTTCATTTTAGCCATTATTTAAGGCTATGGTTGCAATATTCAATATTTATCTAATCTTTACTCTAAAATTATTAGAAGCCCATTAGTAGTTCTATTATCAAACACAAATTGACACAATAATTCAAAGTGTGAGGTGTGTCATTTTAGCCTACAGCTCTGTATAATTAACTTTTGTTTTTACTATCAAGATTTTGAATTGATTTTTTGAAATGATAGTCCAAATAGACTGTCAGACTCAAAAATAGGCAACTCAACAGAAGCAAAAGTTATCTGTTTGAAGGAAAAAGCTATATTTTCAGTACAAAAGTAATCAGATGGAACATTTGTGAAAAGTTTTTTTTAGTCGTTTACCAAAATTAGCAAGAAAGAAAAAACTAACCAATGCATTTTCCATCCCAGTGATATATGAGGTCATGTACCCATATCTGCATGACAATGTATAAGGATGACCATCAGATGAATCAATGGTTACATAGTACATGTACATGTAGGTATTAATATTAAACCTTATTATGATTGTATATAACAGATTATCAAACAAGACAAGGCTACATGTACCTGTACTGTCTTAAAGAGGTGAGAGTTTTTTTTTTGCTACGTGTTGAAGGCCTCACTGTGATTTTGAGATGAAGAACAGCAATAAAAGCGCTGTTTCTTTGCTTTTTGTGTGTTTTTTTGCTTTGTGCATGTATTGATTTTGTGTCATGGATGGATACCCCATATCCTTTGTTTTTCTATTATGTTACAACAAATGTAGCTATAATTGGTGTTATACACTAATATACTTCTGAAAAATTTTATCAAAATATTAGTAGCTATATGTTAATATTCTGGTAATCTCAATGTAATAATAAACAACATTTTGTGCTTTCATCTTATGATATTTTCACATCACATTATATTTCCAGAACACACCTCTACAGCATCAACACGGCTATCAAATGATGTTGGCATAATTCTCCCCAGAACACAAAGCTGGTCAACACAATCCTCAAGAATTGTTGCTGCCCTAATGGCATCAGGGCCTTGCAACATAATTGAATCTGAAAGGAAAAGGCAATAATCATATCTGTAATTATAATATTTGGTTTGAGAATTTTGTTTTCTTAATATAGTAATATCTAAAAATGGTATGTTTGAAATAGCAACAAATGTCATGTGTTTATAATATAAATAACATACTGTCAACACAGAGACATGTTTCATCTGTATATGTAAATTTTTATAAATTAATACATGTATAATGTAAATGTTTTAAATGACATCACTTGAGTCTTAGACATGTAAACAATGTAAAAGTTTCAAAGTCCAAGAAGCATGACTGAGGGGGTGGTCACTGTTGATATTAATCACCATTTAAATGAGATATGTCAATGCCAATACAACTGCCTACAAATATCATTGACTAACCTTAAGCGGTCCTCTTAAAGTGACCAAACAACAGATCAAATTCAATTAATTAAGAAATTACCCATATTTTTTTTTTATAACAGAATATTTTAACCAGGAAATGAATTTGATTGAGGGGGTGCAGGCTATACAATCAGATCTCCTAATGCTCCCAAAGAGATAATTTCAGGTTTCAAAATGCAGGATTAGACAAGTTTTGTACATTATAACAACAGTGTAGCAGAAATGTCAACTGGTTTTTATTGTTGAAGTGTATGGGTGTTTCTGTATTATTCAACATTTACATGTTTATCAAAGTAAACAGTTAAAATTGTCCTATATGTGATTTGCAAGAAAACACACATTTTGAGTAAGAAACCTGTGCTTTTGTCATTCTACATGAAAACTGAAATGTTTCAATATCAATTAACCAGAGATGTTTTTCGTAAATTGTTTTGTTATAAGTAAGACCGTTTGTTTTCTCAATTGAATTTGTTTCATATTTTTGATGTAGTGGCCTCTTAAGGCCGAGTATACAGGTTCATCTCATTGTTGAAGGCTGCACAGTTGCCTATAATTGCTTCCATTCACTTCATCTGAACTTTGATTGATAGTTGTCTCATTGGCAATCATACCACATCTCATTATTATTATATTCAATTAAATTTATTTAGCATAAACTAATCAACATGTTGAAACCAAATAAAAACTAAATAAAATTTTGCTAAGATCAATTGTTTGCAGGTATATCAACATCTAAATATGATAATGTAACCCTGCATCTCTTCCCTTCCACCCCATTATGAGTCATTCACTTCTTATATAGACTACAGAAGGTTATGCTTGTCCCAGATTGCTTATAACATCTTTACACTTCCTCTGTTGGAGGTGTACTGATTCATATTTCAGTATTGGAAAACATTGTCTATATATAGCAGGTGATTTAATTTGTCAACCTTTACTTTTAATTTGATATAACACTGACAAGGAATTATAGTTATCTCGTACCATTGTAAACTCATACCAATGTCAACTCGTACCAATGCAAACTCGTACCACGGTAAATTCATACCATTGTAAACTCGTACCAACTTATTTAAATGCATTCAAATGGTGTTTAATGATGAATATATACTTTTATTTCCCTCAATACCTCGTAAATCTGTAAAGTGTATATAATTTGAAATTACAATGACCAATTTGTAGCTAATTTTCCTTGTCTAATTGGATAGAGAAAACCGTGGCAGATTGGCTTTGTTGTCTCCCTTGAGTAGACTCTTTTTTAAACTTTTACTGACAACTATTTGATTTAATTTTTAATCATTCCAAATCAGTATCATTGAATAGATTTGTGTATTTTTCTTTTGTTTCTAAAAGGAATTTTTATTTAACGAAAGAATTTATTTATTGTGTTTTAAATAAACTCATCATAGATACCAGGATTAAATTTTGTATTTACGCCAGACGCGCGTTTCGTCTACAAAAGACTCATCAGTGACGCTCGAATCCAAACAAGTTAAAAAAGCCAAATAAAGCACGAAGTTGAAGAGCATTGAGGACCAAAATTCCTAAAAGTTTTGCCAAATACAGCTAAGGTGATTCTATTCCTGAGCTAGAAAAGCCTTAGTATTTCAAAATTGCAAAAGTTTTGTAAACAGTTAATTTATAAATATGACCATATCAATGATAATTCATGTCAGCACAGAAGTGCTGACTACTTGGCTGGTGATACCAAAACAAAATCATAAAACATTCGTATTTTTTAATATATTTTTAATGGTACGAGTTTGCAGTGGTACAAGTTCTGATTGGTACGACTTCCCAGTGGTATGAGTTTACGTTGGTACGAGTTAACTTTTTTGGTACGAGTTTACGTGGTACGAGTTTACAATGGTACGAGTTAACTTGCTTCCATGACAAGTTGCTGCTTATGTTTTATGATTGATATAATTATACATGTATGCATGAAGATTTATGAAATATGCATATAGAACAAGCAGTCATGTATGGCTTCATCCTATAACATATAAAATTAGGCTATTAGCTGAAATACGTACTTTTCCTATATTACTTTTTGTAATTTCAATATTTTTGTTACAGTGTAGTTTATTTGTATACTATTTATCGCTTTTACTACCATTATTTTGTACATGAAATGGTGTATCAAGCTGCTGCCATACCCAATTTGAAAATACTAGCCTTAGGATGTTGAACAGTGCATAGATATTATATCTACTGATGTAGTGTTTTTGATGATGATCATTGTACGGATTTTGCAGTCATCATGAATCATGATGAGTTCTCTATTATTGAAAATAAATGTGTATCTGCAAAATTTAGTCTAAATAGTTAACAACACAGTTTAATTTAAATGTTAATACTTTGTGTTAATGACATCTTTGGTTATGTCTTCCTCTTCACTGAACAAGTATGTCGACAGCAAAGGAAAGTGTCTTCTCAACACTTGGACAGCAGTTCCTAAAAAATAAAACGTATTGCGAGTAATAATGACTTTTTAGTGGTTTACGTATAAACTTTTGATCATTGTCCACGTTAGTGATGACTATTATCGTCCTTATTGTCTTCTATAATGGCAAAAAATACCTTATTTTTTACTGAAACCAGCAAAACATTCTGTTTACATGTTGCTAGGTGGCATGCGCTGAAACCGGAAGTGGAGGACAAAATCTACTTCCGTTTCCTTTTTCAATTTTCTGCAGGTCTGCATGATGAAAATAAATGATTATGTTGACAAAATAATGCTTTTCTCAAAGAATAATATAGATTTACTTAAGCGAACTTTATTTTAATTATATACACAAGTCATTGTTTATATTTGAATAAACGGATGGGACTTCAAACGACTGATAAACGTAGATTTTAGGTCTTCATAAGGATTATTTACTATAGTTTTTCACGTTATTATTGCTTTCAAGCAATTTAGACCACATGATTTGTGTTCCTCATTAGGTAAAAAAGAACAAACTTTCTGGAGCACTCAATATTACTCCTAGGTTTAACGACAGTTTGCGTAGTCGTATAATCCAAGCTTTCATATATATAAGGATCAATATGTACTTAAAAAAAAGAGAGAGTACCAACACTACATACATGTATATGCAAAAAATGTTCCTCTGGCTGTGATGAAGACTGCAGAATATGCTGATCTTTTATTGTAATACATGCGCTAGCTTTATTTCATAAAATACAATTTATTTATTACAGGTGACTGACCAAAATGACAGAGGCAGCACCAAATCCCCCTAAAAAATCAGGAAGGTATGTTCAGGGTTTAAGCTAGGATTTTGTGGGCTTTAGTCACTTTTGCACAGGATGAAAATCAACCTTATTTTGGGTAGCAGCAAGGGACCTAGGATGTATATTACTATCTATACATCTTTGTCAGACTTTGTCTTCGAAGGACATAGGCATACTAGGCAGTTACTGCATGATTTGACTGATGTGGCACTTTAATATGAAGATTAGGATATAAGACCTAGAAATCTAGTTCACAATTTCACTTCAGTTAGTTTCAGGGTACATTCCTAATCAGCAAAAGTTGGGATCCATTTTTTTTAAACCAGGAATCACAGCATAAATGAACTTGTAAGGACTATTTCACTGCATTATTCATACTCATTATCCTTAAAAACGTTTTAAAGCGATATATACAATTAATTCTATAAAGTTGGAACCAAGGATTTGTACAAATCCTTATTAGAACAATTCTAATGACTTTAAATTGTAAATTTATCATGAATAGATCACGTTTACTTTCAATTCCAAATGAAATGAAAACGGGAAGTGACAAGTGGATAATAAATTCAGAATGAATCCGGATTCATCTACGGATTGGCAGGAAATTATCATTTTTTAAATTAAATTTGCTAAATAAGAACTATATTTGTCTCTCGTTTAGTTTGATACTGAATTATTTCGTATTTTACGTTTTAGTGTCTTTAAATTCATAAGAATACTTTCGCGCATGGGCAGTTCATAGTAAAGGAAGCACCTGTTTGACTCGTGAAAACATTTCTGAATGTTATGAATAAAGTTCTTTTTAATCGAAATTGTCGAAAGTTTTTGATTAAAAGTTATATCAAATATGACGAAAATACGTTCATTTGACGAAACTACGACAAGCGAACTGCAAATTGTGATCGTTTGAGAAATATTGAAATTAAAATGTGAACTGTTCGAGGGAAAACTCAAATGACGAAACTATGACAAACGAACTGCAAATTGTGCTCGTTTGATAAATATTGAAATTGAAATTGAAATGCCGACTGACTGATTTTACTGAGGAAAATAATTATATTGATGATCAATTTTGAGGTTGATAAATAATTAACGGATTAGTGACCCATCCAATGGCGATAAGCGGATTATCTGTAATCACAACTTATAACACCTGTTGTAAATGTTAATTAGTTGAGGGTCATAAACTTGTCAGAGACAATAAGACCGGTAGAATTATAGTATTTTCATGCGAAAATATTTTTACTCTTTCCAAATTTAAGTGACGAAATTGATTTGGAATACTGTCGTCATTTTGAAAACCATTTCGTAAATGACGAAAATGACGAGCGCTAGCAAAATCACTGGGTATGTACAAAGTGATATATAATCCTAGATCTTGTACTGATGAATATTTAGCATTATTTATTATGTTTTAATGCACTTTGTTTAACCAAACAAAGTATTCACCGTGTATCATCGGTACAGCGGATATAGGTACTAACCAAGCGGGGCATGATCGATTTTTCCCTGACACAGTAAGAAAATCTTTGTTTTGCTTTATCTACATTCAGTTTACATTTCTCAACATCTGAAATTCCTGCTCCCAAATAATTTTTGCATCTATTTTTTCCTATTTATAAGACAACTTTTATTTTATAAGAATAATAAACTTTTACATGCGCTAATAGTTGTGAATGTCAACACGAACTTTCAATTTTGATAGAGTTGTCGAGCCATTTACATGTTTTATCGGAATGAAAGCTTACACAGGGCAAAAGTAATAGTTACCAATCATAAACCTACCTGTGATAACTCATTCCATGAAACATTTTGGGTAATAAACAAGTGTGGAAAAGCTATATACCGTACATTCACTTAACTATGCACCGTACAGAAGGATTTATGTGGTCAGCTATACATCGTACACAAAACGCTTCTTTTCGAAATAAAATATCGAAAAATAACAAGTATGAAAGATTTCAATGCTAATTATTGAAACAGCTATACTTATTACGCACACACAGTGCCCCTTCTATTAGAAAAAGAGTTGCAATGAATATAGAATCATATCGGATGAGACTAGCGCCAAATTCTTTCACAAGTATTTGCACATGTTTTAAGTAAGCGTTCTTGTTTTGGGAAAATAATGAGACTTCTCTAATCATCAACCTACGACCAAATCATTTCTTAAAACAACAATTATGTTTAGATTGAAGTACACATTGATATTATGTAAACAAAACGAAGATTTTCTTACCGTGTCAGGTCAAAATTGATCTCGCCCTCTTGGTTAGTACCTATATCCGCTGTACCGATGATACACGGTGGTATTTATGTGCTTACATGCTCCATCTGTTTTGAAAATATGTATACATATAATTGCACATTCAATTATGTACACTTCAACAATAGACTTTACTTTCTAAGTTCAATAGAACAAACACAAGCTTGGTTACTGAATGGTGCAGTGACCACCTCAAATTTTATTCTTAAATACAATATTGTCTGCCGTAAGAGTCCCATCAAAACAACACAAGATACACTGCCTGTCAGAATCTTGAACAATGTCATGTTCTGTAACAAAATAATCTACAAAATGAAACAAACTCATGTAAATACTGTACTATGTAAAATTATAAAAACAAAGTAAACAAAATTAAACCTCTACCTATATATACTAAGTGTGTTAGTGTGGTCACTACCCAGTCCTCTAGAACTTAAAACCCGAGCAATTAGCTTATATACTGACCACCAAACAGTTTAAAGGCAAATTTAGTTATACAACCTATATAAAATCCTCATAAAATTATTGCATAATCAAATTCATTCTGCATACCGCACATAAATTCATTTACACATTTTTTAAACTTTTTTATTACAAATCATTGCATTGAATTTGTTGACCAATTGATGATTTTTTGTCGAGCCTGCGACTTTTGTCGCAGAAAGCTCGACATAGGGATAGTGATCCGGCGGCGGCGGAGTTAGCTAACTTCTTAAAAGCTTTATATTTTAGAAGGTGGAAGGTCTGGATGCTTCATACTTTGTTTACTTGGTTAATGTTAAGTTTGTGTGAAAGTTGTAATAAAGCTTTATATTTAGGACTATCAACATAATATCAATGATTAGTAAAGAAGGCGAGACATTTCAGCGTGTGCACTCTTGTTTTTCATTTGATGAATATTATCGTGATGATTTAAAAATTCAGTCATTTGTAAAAACAAATGCATTGGTTAGAATTTTACCCAAAAATATATTCCAGTTTTTTTTTTAACCATGCAGTATCAAAAATGATTGCCAGAAAGTGATTAACCTCCCTTATATTGATATGCATGAATTACATACAATAGGTAACGTGTGCATGTTTACTATAATATATATATATATATGATCTTGTCATTTTGATGATTACCATTTACCGTTATTTTTTTTTATTTCAGACTTTACTGTAAAGCTGTCTTCACTGGTTACAAGAGAGGATTACGTAACCAGCATGAAAACACTGCACTTCTTAGGATTGAAGGTGTTACAAGCCTAAATGATGTACCATTTTACCTTGGCAAACGATGTGCTTATGTTTACAAAGGAAGAAGGTATGCTTTAAACCAAAATGTTGAAAATTATTTCAATTCTGATTCTAATAGGACAAATAATCTTTTTTTTTCTAACTTTATTACATTCTGAGGCATACAAGAAGCCTGAAAATGCCTGGTGATTACATTTGACACCAGAGGCATACATATGACATCACCTTGTAAAGTTGCCAAAGACAGTAACATTTCACAAGATTTTCATTTTATGAAATTTTACACCGAAATAACTGAAACTGACTGATTTATTTATTTTGCATTTAATAGAAGAGAGATAACCCTATTTGAAGTTTGGCCTTCATAAAACCTGGGTAATACTGTTGCAAATTGAGTTTACGTGGTCATATAAATAAGGTGGACCTAATGCAGAACAGCTAAATTGGTATATTAATGCATTTGCCCTAAAAGTAGATATACTGTGATTATACTAGTTGACGATATATAGCTTGTCATATTAGAATTAAGAACAATTGCTTTCCCAAATTAAAAAAAACACTTAATTTATTTTTATACGACTGTCAAAAAATTTGTTGCGACTGTATAACCTAATGGCGGTCATGTCTTTGTCCAAAGACATTTGGTTTCCAGACAATAACTTGAGTATAAGTGTATGGATCTCTGAAATTGTACCACAGGATTCCATACCACAAAAGGAAGGTTGCTATTGATTTTGGGGGTAATTGTCCTAACTGTTCAGGAAGTTACTGTTAGCAGTAGTCAGAAAATGTCAATAGCGAAAGTGGCTAATCAAAAGCTCCCTTTCATTTTCATAAATTTCTGATATGTCATTGAGAAGTGATTGAACTTTATTCTTTGAAAATGCGACGGGCGTATCATGCGCTCAAGGCGCAGCTGTTTATTAATTTTCCTAGGACTTTTTGTAGAGTTTAATCCCTGTTGATTTAAATTACATTGGTTGTTATATTTGTCGACGCTTGGAATAAAATTGGAATATAACCACCCAGGTTATGTGAACATGTCCATCAAATCTATGGCATGCGTGAATTATTTTCTTAAATAATAAGGGATGTATGTGTTTGTGTGATTCGAATCAAATATTGATAGGAAATATGCTTTAGCATATATGATACAGACTGATATCATTTCTTTTTTCTATAACAGACTTCTATTTGTTTTAACAGGAGGACTGCCTGCCCAGGACACGAGAAGGCTAGTCGTATTAGGGTGATCTGGGGCAAAATAACCAGATCACATGGAAACAGTGGAATGGTGAGGGCAAAGTTCAAGAAAAACTTGCCATCTGTTGCCATGGGTAGAAGAGTAAGAGTGGTAGGTACCTTAAATATATCTATTAAAAAAGTTATAAACTATTTAGGGAATGTCAAAAAATAGTTCGAGATCTGGTTGCATATCCTAGTTTTTCTTGTCAATCTTTTGTTGTTCATGATCAATTTGACCACTGAACAGACAACTCTTGCAGAGTTTCTTCTATAGGAAGTGAAATTGAGGTTCTATTTTAATTTTGCTTTGCATTGATTTATGGAGTTCATATAGCCAAACAGGATTGCAGTTTGGTCCAGAGTTGGTAGGGCAAACATCTCTTCCTTTATCCTTTTCTTTTTTATATCATTCTTAATAATGAAAAAGGCTGGTCTCTTGAGTCTAGTTTCTAGAAGTCCACTATTCACAAATGCGTATGCTTGTACTTGATTGAGAACATCAAGAACATTTGTTTTGTCATGAGTTATTTGAAATTTGAAATTTTTATGGTTATAAAAAAAAGATTTCCCTCAGTTTTATTTGGAAATTTGTAAGAGTCAAAGCTCAAAAAGGATCTGTTTAGAACAACTATTACTTTGGCCTGAACTACTGCAACGCCTAGATCATTTTACAGAAAGTTGTGCACTTCACATTTTAAATTTCGAAGACCCATATGCAGGGTATCAATGATACACCAACCATCATCAAATCTAGCAGTCATTGTTAAAAGAAATTTTAGTCAAAATTCAGAAAAATCCTGTAAAGAATTTGTAATTTGATTAGTACATTTCCATAGGCAATACATGGATTTGACTATTTCTGCAGACAAGGAAATTTGACGGAATTGCCTTGAAACATGAAATTGTTAATTTTCAACCATTATGTTTATTAGGCCAAAAAATATATATGCTTGTTTCCTGCCTTCAGTCTGACCCTAAGTTTGATCACAGACCTTAAAATAGTATACTTCCTTTCCAAAAAATTATTTAAGAAAAAGCATTGAGAGCCTTCTTATTTGTCTACGAATCAATTTTCCACTGGATGATGCTCTCAAATTTGTAATCAGATCGACGTAAATCGAGTGTAGAACTTGTCAAAACAATCAAAATTATAAACATATTATCAGTCATGCGCAAATTACCAAATGCATAAGTGTAAAATTGGACCAAACTCGGTAAAAAACATGAAATTTTTCTGAATATGGTTAACATGGACAAGATAATAATAAAGAATAAAATAAAATCACTACTGACCTTATTTTAAACTGGTTGGAGGTAGGAAACCGACATATTTTTTTTTGCCTAGAGATATAACAATGGTAACAGTCATTAATCAAGAAAGGGAAATATATTTTAATGTGCTTTGAATTTAGTGCTGTTATTGTAATAATAATATATGGTATGACTGCCAACGAGACAACTCTCCACCAGAGACAAACTTATATTAAAGGTCACTGTATGGCCTTCAACAATTGAGCAAAACTCATACTGAATAACAAGTTATAAAAGGCCCAGAAATGACAATTGTAAGAACAACAACCACTGAATTACAGGCTTCTGACTTGGGACAATCACATACAGAATGTGGTGGGGTTTAAAATTCAACAGTAACCAGATTAAACTACAAGAGAAAAACTTGCATTTAGCTATAACCATACTGATACATAGATTTCAAAATGACAATTTAAACATCATGTAATTTCTATGTATTTAGTTCATTATGCATCTTTATTATCTATTCATTTAATATTTGGAATGAAATATACAAAAGTGAGCATTGAGGACAGTTTTTTTTTTAAATTCCTCATGAAAGCATGTGGCCTGAAGTATGACTTAACAAAAATCTGAGTCTGTTCCAAGACCTGATATATATTTTAAATACTCTTAATCATCTACAATGTAATATGTTTGTTAAAACTATGCCTCAGAATGATTTTCAGCAGTGCATTGATATAAATTCAACTTAGTTTACATTCACATGTTTATTATCGATGTTTTTTTTTTGTTGTAGATGATGTATCCATCAAGAGTATAAAATAAAGAAAAAAAGACTCAAAAATTGTTATGTGAATTTCATAGCCTTTTGTTAGATCTCCATATTTATATATAGTGTGGTGACTTTCCTATCTTCAAGCATTCTACGTTGTGTTAAATGTAGTGAAGGGGGTTATTTTTACCTGCATCACCAACAGTGAGAGCAGGTCTAGAAACCGCTTGACTCTGTCTGTCCGTCCTAAATACCTTGGGTAGAAAACTAAGGGAATGACTTTTAAGTACTACAGCTTGATAATGTTGAGTTGTAGCTTATGAGCAATTTTTATACGACCGCAAAAAAAATTTTTAGGTCGTATATTGGTATGACGTTGGCGTCGTTGGCGTCGTCGTCCGAAGACACATTGGTTTTCGCACTCTAACTTTAATTTCAGTGAAAGGATCTCTATGAAATTTTACCATAAGGTTCAATACCACAAAAGGAAGGTTGGGATTGATTTTGGGGGTTATGGTACCAACAGTTAAGGAATTGGGGGCCAAAAATAAGCATTTTTGTAACTTCCAGACATAACTTGTGTGTTAGTGTATAGATCTCTCTGACATTGTACCACAAGGTTCCATATCACAAAGGGAATGCTGGGATTGATTTTGGGGGTAATTGCCTCAAAATTTTAGGAATTAAGGGCCAAAAAAGGGGCAAAAAACAAGCATTTTTCTAGTTTCATGACAATAACTTGTGTGTAAGTGTATGGATCTTTCTGAAATTTTACTACAAGGTTCCATATCACAAAGGGAAAGCTGGAATTGAGTTTGGGGGTAATTACCCAAAACCTTTAGGAATAAGGGGCCAAAAATAAGCATTTTTGTAACTTCCAGACATAACTTGTGTGTTAGTCTATAGATCTCTCTGACATTGTACCACAAGGTTCCATATCACAAAGGGAATGCTGGGATTGATTTTGGGGGTAATTGCCTCCAAATTTTAGGAATTGGGGGCCAAAAAAGGGGCAAAAAACAAGCATTTTTCTATTTTCATGACAATATCTTGTGTGTAAGTGTATGGATCTTTATGAAATTGTACTACAAGGTTCCATATCACAAAGGGAGAGCTGGAATTGAGTTTGGGGGTTATTACCCTAAACGTTTAGGAATAAGGGGCCAAAAATAAGCATTTTTCTAGTTTCCAGACAATAACTTGTGTTCAAGTGTATGGATCTCTCTGAAATTGTACTGCAAGGTACCATACCACAAAGGGAAGGCTGGGATTGATTTTGGGGGTAATTGCCTCAAAATTTTAGGAATTGGGGGCAAATAAGGGGCAAAAAATCAAGCATTTTTCTAGTTTCAGGACAATAACTTGTGTGTAAGTGTATGGATCTTTATGAAATTGTACCACAAGGTTCCATATCACAAAGGGAAAGCTGGGTTTGAGTTTGGGGGTAATTGCCCTAAACGTTTAGGAATTTGGGGCCAAAAAACAAGCATTTTTCTAGTTTCCAGACAATAACTTGTGTTCAAGTGTATGGATCTCTCTGAAATTGGACTGCAAGGTACCATACCACAAAGGGAAGGCTGGGATTGAGTTTGGGGGTGATGAATCATAAGGGGGATCAAAAAATTGGGGGGGGGGGGGATTTGTTTTTCCTTTTTTTTCTTTAAAATTTTCCATTTTAAGTTGGTTATTTCTGATTTATATATAAAAGCAAATAATAATTATATGGTTTGAATAGGTAAATTAAAAAAAATTAAGTTCTTAGACCACATTCATTCTGTGTCAGAAACCTATGCTGTGTCAAATATTTAATCACAATCCAAATTCAGTGCTGTATCAAGCTTGAATGTTGTGTCCATACTTGCCCCAACTGTTCAGGGTTTGACCTCTGCGGTCGTATCAAGCTGTACCCAGCGGAGCATTTTATTTACATCTGCTTTTCAGCCACTTCCTGTTTGCTGATAGTTTGAAATTTACAACGCTCGTTTTACATTGAATAATGTTATCAAATTTTTTTAAAAGGGCCAAGTGAGCTTTTCTCATCACTTTCAAGTTTGTATTTGTTGTCATCAATATAAAAATAAGAAGATGTGGTATGATTGATAATGAGACAACTATAGGTCACCTTACGGCCTTCAACAATGAGAAAGCCCATACCGCAGTCAGCTATAAAAGGCCCCGAAATGACAAATGTAAACCTATTCAAACCAGAAAACTAACGGCCTGATTTATGTAAAAAATATTGAACGAAAAACAAATATGTTATACAGCAACAAACGACAACCACTGAATTACAGGCACACACAGAATGTGGCGGGGTTAAACATGTTATAGGGCGCCCAACCCTCCCCTAACCTGGGACAGTTAACTTTAAAAAATCTGCTCCTCTGAAATTACTGGGCAAAATTTAACCAAACTTGACCACAATCATAATTGGGGTATCTAGTTTAAAAAAAGTAAATCCAATGATCCCCCTGCCAACCAACATGGCAGACTTGGCTAAAAAAAGAACATAGTTTTACCAATTTTTTGCCCCCACTGCAAGTTATGTCTGTTTATAAACGGACAAATTTGCAGTTTCCATACTCTAACTACTTTGCCACAACCAAATGTTCTGAAACCTATACACAATGCTTATTACTAACAAACACAGGTCAAGTTCAAATATGGTAGCATCACTTTTATCAATCTCGAGTTACTCGTGCATATTTACAAGCCAGGGCATCTGTGTCCCATGTACACAGTATTTTTTTATTTGCATGTTTTATAGGCCATTTTCTGTTTGACAATCCATATTTCACATCCATACTGGCCAATGGTCCAGAAATTATTGTAGTGATTTCCAACAAATATTTTATGCTCGAACTTGTCAATTAATTTTTATGGCCTCTTGATAGATAAATGTCAATAGTTTCTGAAAAGGTATTTATCAAACAGAATGAAATTCTGCGAGACCAATATGGGTAGTCAAGGTTAAAAAAAAAGCAGTAGTAAATTCTACTTTAGACCAAATTTTGGGGAGTTTTGTGACATTTTCATCACCTTTTTGCAATATGTTGTATCAAATAAATGCAGATTGCTGCCATGGTTACACCAAAAAGAGATTATATTTCACCATTTTCACTTTTGGAAATCAAATCTAAGAACGATTCAGTTTCCATACATGTGCGCATTATAGCCGCATACATAAACTATAAGCCTTATTTGTTGGAAAAACAAGGGAAAGAGGGCGGTTAAAAGTTGGTCAATTTTTAATTTTTTTTACCCAACTGTTTCTACTTTAAATATGCTTAAAATGGGCGTATCTTGAACTTATTGCACAGCCGTCTAGCAAATATTTCAGTTTTCTCAAGAAAAAAGTTGAGGAGAAAAATTGACAATTATCAATTAACCCCTGATTATTGCCCCTGAAGGATGATTTTATCCATTTTTGGGGAAAACTCGAGTAGATAAAGAGAAACGAGTTATTGCTTTTGAAAGTGTTTTTCACAAATTATTCTGCATTACTTGCAGAAACTATAATTGAGGAATTGTAAATAGCATAATAAGATATGAAAATAAGTCAACTTGGACGAAATTGTCAATTGACCTTCATAGAGTTATCTGCCATTGAAGGATGAATTTTACCTATTCTTAGCTCACCTGAACCAAAGAGCCATTGTGTGCTGTTACTATCACTAGATGTCCGTTAACTTAAATCTTATCTAAAGCTACTATGCCAGTTTGAACCAAACAACTACAATCATCCTTGGTATTTCTGGTTTAAAAGAGTGTCCGATGACCCTGCCTGCCAATCAATAAGGAAGACATGGCTAAAATAAAATAGAACAAAAGGGTAAAATGCAAGTTTTGTCTGTTGTGTTGAAAACTAAAACGGAAAATAACCAGGACAAAAATTTTCAGAATGTAATTATATAAAGATCTACCTATATATAAATAAGATGTGGTATGATTGGCAATGAGACAACTATCCACATAAGTTCAAATGAAGTGGATGTAAGCAATTATAGGCAACCGTATGGCCTTCAACAATGAGAAAAACCCATACTGTATGGGCGGCTATAAAAAGCCCAGTCATGAAAAATATGAAATAATTCAATTGAGGAAACTAAGGGAGCTACCATTTGATTTTTAGGGGGGGCTAGGATGAAATTTGAAAAAAAATAGGCAGGACAGGAGTTTTGAGTAAAAAAAAAAGGCAGGATGACAATTTATTTAAAAAAAAGTCAGGATAAACAACAAAAAAAGACGGGACCGAATAGAGTGAAAAATAAAAATGCAGGACAGAGATTACAACTAAAAAAAAAAAATTCAGGACACAATTTTTCATCCTAGCCCCCCCCCCCCCTCCCCCCCCCCCCCCAAATATGACAGCCACTGAACTACAGGCTCCTGACTTGGGACAGGCACATAAAGAATGTGGCGGGCTTAAACATGTTTGTGAGCGCTCAACCCTCCCCTAACCTTGGACAGTGGTGCAACAGTACAACATAAGAACAAACTATAAAAACAGTTGGAAAAAGGCTCAACTCATCAGATGGATACAAATAGAAATACATCTAACAAAAACACACAGTGGACGTGGATAGGTACTTATACATCCCAAAAACAAAAAGACACTAAGTAAGATTTGAGAGTACTCGCAGTTACTGACAGCTAGTTCAAAGCCAGTACCAACTAATGAAAAAAAATCATGTATGTAAGACTAAAATATCAATCAGTACACGTCCAACATCGAGTACAGTCTTGTAATAAAATATTGTCAGATGACTCCTTATAGGCTTTCTATTATTAAACCTGAAAACTATAATAAAAAACGTTGAATAGCAAAAACTAATAGCTTAATAAGAACATTAAATAATTCAACATTGCCAAAAATGTAGTAATTAGTATTGTGAAAGCCTTTAGCATGCAGAGTTACATTGATGACTTGAATAGTTCTTCTACAGCAGTTTGGTGAAATATCTGAACAGTTTGATTTGATGAAACAAATTGCAATTTGGTATATTTTTAATAAATTGCAATAGCACTGTATTTAAACTACCCCGGCGAAAAATGTTTTGACTCAATAGTATCTAATGTCCGGTACGGTGACGGACAATCAACAGACAGAGAAATGTAGAAATTCTGTTTATTTATATGTTGTTTTAATGATATTGAAGAATATACATACACATATAACTATTTTCGATAGTGTGATGTAATATTTTCTACCACCGTTCTAGATTTATGGAGAAATAAGTAAAAAGGCACATCAAAATGGTGAATTGAGTGAACCCTGCCTCGAATTTGTTTAATTTCTCTTTAAATTGAGCACATTGTATGGAAAGAAAGATATTAACGCGGAGATGTCAAGACTTTTCACTATGATCGCCTCAATATTTACATGTCTGTGCATGGAATGAAAGAAGTGGGTCATGTCAAAATTGAAGCACCCGGTTTTGTCAATGTGTACGACCCAGTTTTGTCCATAAATTTCACAAAGCAGACCCGGTTTTGTCATAGAAAATAATGCATAATCGCATGACGAAAATTAAAATATGGCGTTCAACAGCAGTTTGAGGGATCGTTGAAAAACATTTTCTTTCAGAGGATAACTTATAACCTTTTCCGTAAACACTTGAATTCCTGCTATATTAGAACAAAGCAAATTTCAATTTTGTTTTGTATATAAAAAAAAAAGGAAAAATTAAAAAGAAGTGAAGGTTTTGAAACGGAATTAGATTTTTTTATATCATCTATGCAAATTTAAGTGTTCAAACTTAATTAGCGTACGGCTTTGGAAATTTAAGGACGCACATTTGATATGGGATTTTCTGGGACAACAAGATGGTTATCTTAGTGTTCGCTCTACTTAAATGGAAGACAGTATAGTCGTTTGAAAATAAATATTCTGAAACTAAACGTTCATTATAAAGCAAGAGAATAAGACAAATGTATGTGCATGCAGAATCGCCCAAGAAAAGGAATTTCCATGCGGCGCAAAGGATCACAATAATAGTGCGTTTAAAATCTGTTTACCCCTCCTTGTTACAATAATACTAAGTATAAATTAGTATAAAAGTCTTAGGCCATCCGGAAATTGCAATAATGATTATTTGATTAGTAATTTTTATAAATAGACGATGTTTTATCTCTCTTTTTTTTCTTTTTTTTTTAACATTAACAAATTCTTTAATGCACTAGAATCAAGTTGTTAACAACTGCCCTATATAGTACAACTATTATATATAGGTTTATCTCTTCATTGTATAATGATCATCGTACATTGACAAATGTTCTGCAATTTAAGCAATTTGGTCAAGTTTAGAATTGTCAATATGCAAGGGCGGACCGAGGCCATGATTTTTTAAAGGGGCGTATTCATAAACGGATTTTATACCGCCAAGCGTAGCAAGGGGAACTTTTTTTTAACGATTTTATGCTAAATAAAAAATCATATATAAATCGTAAAAAACATGATAAAACAATTATTTCTAGCCACCAAAAGGGGGGGGGGGGGTCTGCGTTCTCCCTCTACTCCCCTGGATCCGCCACTGATATAATGTAACTATATCGTATACCAACCTAAAATTTAATAAAAGACTAAAAAAACAGAGACAGCCGCCAATCGCATATTTACTACAGGGG